TTCTTTAATTGAAGTTGTTTTAGTATTGAAACTGGTAAACCTTTGTGTATTCAAATTCGCGTATCTCATATGTATTCATTTAACTGTAAAAGGCAATATAGCTTTTTCGTATTCCTATCTATCTCTTTTTTTATTGTTTTTATCTATTACATTTTTTTTCATGTTTCGCCTAATACAAATTAATATTCAGAAATGGATTATTATTGAATTTATATAATATTTTACGATGATATTAAAATAATTGTATATAACAATTTATATTTAAATTAAAAATTATTTCATATCTAAAACTAATAAATAAATTGCTACATAGAATACTAATTACTATAATATAATATAATAAATTTCTACATTTCATTTAACAGTCGCTTACATTATTTATATATTTATAGACATAAAACTGTTTACATACTCATACATTAGTTATACGTACAGAAGTTCTTTATGGTCTCTACTTACTAACAATAGTCGAATTAAGTGCGGGAAAATGGACGGGTATCAGCAAGAAAGTATCATCGCGGTACCAAAATAAGCAAAGTATAGACTAATGTTATCAAGAACAATACAATATGAAGCTTTGGAATTTTCATAAAATTAAAATTTCGGAGCGAGGGTTAAGAATAGACCTTCCGAAATGAGACTGAATATTTAATATAATTTCGCTGGACAAAGCTATTTTACTTAGTTAACATTTCTTTATTGAAGCAGATTGTTTCCATATCGACAACTTATATATAATTTGATATTTAAATATATTTTAATGACACTTATTGATTTAAAAGTTCTAAGAAAATTTTACTTTATTTAAATATTCGTAATATTCTATTATATATACTTAAGTAGAGTGGATATAGAAGTCATGATTTACCTTTATGAGTGATGAATGATTTGTTTATTTGATGAATACTTTATTCTTCATTAATTTTCAGATACAAAATTAATGATAAAAGAAAGGAGAAATTTATTATGTTGTATTAACGCACCGATCGTTTATTTAAGAAAAGAAATACCGAATGCCTCATCCCTCCTTACCCGCCTCGTATCACATCAATAACCCGTACTCATACTTCTTTTTCGTTTAGCGTTCATTTTTTTTCATCATACTCGGCTTCTAAGAATAGTAGCGTGATATTTAATAGTTTTTATAACTTTCTACAAGCATTGGACTATCCTATTCGTGAACTTGTATTCGTTTTCAAATATAACTAGTTGTTTCGGATATTAGGGCATCAAACGAACAAACTCTTCAGCTTTGTATAGAGTATTACTGTAGATTACAATGGTTTATCAATACTTGACTCGTGAACTCGAAGTTCGATGTAAGTGGAAACTCTCCCTCATATATCGCAAGGTTTACGGACACTTTGCTGACGTTGCGCGACGTTCATCCGAGTAGCAGGAAAATTTATAATATTTCTCGTTTGAAATCAATTTACTTTGATAGAGTGTAAGTCTCGAGCTCATGTGCTCATCTCAGGAAAAGTCACGTATTATGAATATTGAGAGGCTTGTAAAAAATAACAGCGACATAATATAAGTGATTACGATCACATACCAAAATAGAGTGGAGAGTGCATTTAGGTATGGTAATTAATAATTTAGAGTTTGTGTGTTTATTTAAATTATCAGTTAGGTATTTCTCGAACTATGAATATCTATGAACAGTGATAAAAACCAAAGTAATCAGGGAGACAACGTTGACGTTAATGGCAGTGGGAGAGTTGTTTATATCCGATTACTCTGTTTGGAACTATTGTATGTAATAATTAGATAATAAAATTGTAAGTGGGGGGTGACTCCGCCAGTCAATTATATATCTTTATGGACTGTAGTCACGTAACCAAGCTAGTTATTATATTATTTTTGCAAAATCATCTTGAATTTATTTCGTGCTACGTTGCGCGAAATATGAGTATAGCTGGAGTATTTCACTTTCACGTGCAAAGGCAAGCGGTCGGCAAAATGTCTCTGTGTGCTCAGGATACTCCCGTGAGTGAGTGATTACGTCAAAATCTAAGAATGTTAAATCTTATAGCGTGCTTCAATAATTTTTGACTCAGTCCAATAAAAAAAAATCATTGAAGCAAACTATGTATTAAAGTAGGTTGAGTAATGTTTAGTAAGATAAATTCATAAATTAAAAAAAAAAAATCTTAGTACAGTCACTGTCTATATAAATACTATTAGCATTCTGACAAAAAGATATTATTTACATTTTACGCTTTAAAACATTTTTCAATAATAACTTGATTGTTTTATTATTTCTGCATATACAAAAGATATTAAAATGAAAATTAAAGATGCGGATAAAGTTTTACCTATAACACTAAAGCCTAAATATTGAAAAATAGAAAATCTCTTTACCTCTATTTAACAAAATCTGACATGATCATCAGTGTTACCATCGAAACTCGATAAAAGGGGGTCAGTTGATTGATCAATCCCGTTAACCCGATGAATCGATTCCTATTGTTCAAATTGAGTATCATTAATGCCCCACAATTCTAGCAAACACTAATGAGGGAGATTTTATCACATGATTTAGGATGAAATCTTGTATTTAATATTCTTACACTAGGACAAAAGCAAAAATCTAGTTAGACTGCCGACCACGCGCATGGTTCTATTTTTTGACATTTATATTAGTGTTAAATTCAATATTGTATCTTCTCTTCTAAATACTCTCTACTGATAAATCAGTGTCAATAAGGCACTAATAATATAACAACAAGCAACTCAGCAGGTAATCTATCCAAAAAAGTCTGTCTGTTACATTACCCGCTGAGTAATCAATGAATACAAATTTGTACGTCTTTAGTATCTCATAACGATTAAAAAATATGTATATTAATATTTTACTAACTGTTTAATTAATAAAAAATATATTTACATAACCCAGGACAATTACCACGGCGCCATCTTGTCCAACAGTAAGCAGGGTTTGTTTTATGCGTACTAGACAACTGATATAAATACATACATAATATACATAGAATATACCAAAACGATTCAAATTCAATCATACTCATGAATACAAATGTTTGCACCGTGGGAGGAATAGAATTCGTTCCCATCGGAAGTAAAGCGGTGTGTTAAACCGCTAGACTACCGAGGTCGTCGAGTTATAGTAAAAGTTTGTTATATCTTTTATATTTGTATTTAACCTTTCTGAAAATAACTCAAAGCAAAGAGTAAGGTTAAGTACTTGTTAAAAATTCTGTATGTTGCGGAAGCGAATGAGTGATTTTGTCGGTCAAAGTGTGGCTTTGTACAAGCTAGTGGATTTTGATCCTTAGGTGAGCTATGGAGAGATTGCCCCCTCGTAGACGATGGACATAACGTATTTAAAGTTTAAATCCTGAATATTATATTAGATCAAAGGGTCAATATTAAATTCGTGCCATTGTTAGTGATAGTAGAGGATTTTGTGGACTCATGAATATTAAATTTAACTTCCCGCAGATTTAGTACAAACTTCGGTAATGTGATACGTTTGAAAAGAAACATTATCATTATGATTGATCAATTACTGGAAGTACTATTAATGAGCGAATTAAATTAATAATGACCAAATACAGTCGCAACAAATTATTAATTATTTATATTGAAATGAAAAATGAAATTAATTATGTTTATTGTGATTAGTTAGTATAATTCCACATTGTAAACGCTTTTTGAAATCGTTTGAAAATAAATTAGAATAAATTGTGAAGATGAATTATGAAATCATTTAACAAATTATTTTCGATTGTTATTATACTCTGATATTAAATTAAGAATTTATAAATAGATTCAAGGCAATTACAATTAAGTAATTACGCAATTGTTAAGTCTCTTTAATAATTGCCAAATACGTAATTTTAACCTTCTAATTTCTTCTACTCTTCATAATTTCTTACTATCTTTGTCTTAAAATCGATTTGTTTTAAAATCGATAGTTCAAAATATGAATCAATGTTCGCCGCTGAATTTATAGGTATTTACACACGATGACTTTACATTAATACTGACAGATATTTTTTAAAGTTTTTCAAGAGTAATTAAACAAAATGCAATTATTAAAAAATGTTGAAATTGATACAAATTTTAACTTCCTATTTATGTTCCATGAGACTAACTATTATTACTATTTGAATATGAATTATTTAAGTTTCAAAGTTCATAAATGAAATTAAAATTTTAATAAAATATTGCAATTATAAAAAAGTTGATGACGTTCAATTCATAAGTCAATTATATTCCTTATAGTTATATATCGTCTTATCATCGGCCCAATAATGATACGGAACTCTTTATTATGCTAGTAGGTATATATTAAAAGTGTTATTATTCCACGAAATTATTAAATTGTTTCGCTGTATAAGTACATTGCGCTCACATAAAGTCGTGATCGATCGTCCATCAAGATGGGAGCTGTAATTACTATGATTTATTTTGACCGGCATCAATAAAATAAGATAAATTGTTTAGGTTAAGGGTAGAGGCAAGCATGTCAATATTTCATTAACTTGTTATTTAGGGAGGTTAGAAAGTAAGATGTAAAATCTAGTAATATATAAAAAGCCTGTTAAGACGGTCGTTTCGCCAACCATATTATTTCGGAGGGCCCTATACCATGCCCCGATTTCGCTTGTAATTTCACGTCTGGAAAGTTCCTTTTCTCTTTTTGTTTGTAATGTAAATTTTCCTCGTTCGGCCAAGAACTTTGTCGAAATCTCTCCTTTTGTCCCGATCCAATGTCGGATAACAGGAGATTTAATATAGAGGCCTGTAAATTCCTTGCCACTTATACCGTGTCGAGTTCGAATTCGGTTATTTCACGGAAGATTAGCTGATTACACGCCGAATATTTTCTTAGGATGTCAGTCGCTATTGTGACTGGGGAAAATATGGATAATTTTCTTTTATCAGCAGAAAACTTAATATAGTAGACATTGAAGCGTAATATCGGCATTATCGATTTTGCACATTGTTTATATTGAGCTCAATAAAAAAGCGACATGTTGGTATGCATTAACATATTTATGGTGATATTTTTAATTGATATGGTAAATGCCGATATTTTCACTGATGGAAACGCTACAAAAATTTTTGACTTTTTAAAAGCCAAATATAATAAATTATATATAAATAAATTGGAAGAACAACGTGCTTTTAAGAACTTCATTGATAATTTGAACAAAGTGTCGGCTCTTAATGAAAAAGTCACAAGCAATGATACTTTTTATGTAATAAACAGATATGCGGATATAGATTCTGAAGATTTCGATCAACATTATGCTATTCCATTGACAACATGTAAGTAAAATAAATTTATAAGATAATGTGTTTATGCCCTGATATCCTCAATCTAATCTAAAGTACCCTAAGTCTTTAGCAATGATATATACTACTGTATCCTTAATTTTACAACGAACAGCTAATCCGTTAAGGCACTTGAATTTGAGTACGAGTTAGTATTACGTGAACTTTGAGAACAGTATTTTAGCTGTTGTGAAGAACTGTAAGCTGTTCCTTCGCAATCACAACCGACACGGAGTGCTACAGCTGATGGTAGGCCTGATGGAGGCCTGAAATAACACTATAGTCTTATTTTCAACTTAGGCTTGTACGGGTTTGGGCAGCAGAAGTTATAAGAAAATAAATAAAGTTAAAGTATTACACAAACTGGTGAAACGTCGTGAAAACGAGAAGCATGAACATTATAGTATACATTTGTTAGGCGTATACGTATACGACTTGTTATATTAGTGTCTATAAAATAGTATTAATATTTTAAGAGCATGCAATCAAGTTATAATATTATAAATTGTTACAGTTGAAAATGAAGGAAAGGTAGATATGGCGAATATAGGTGGTCAAAATATGTTACGGAACACAATGGAAAAATTACGTACCAAAGTAGAAAAAGATACAGATTATTCAGAGAGTATTGAATTATACGATTTAAATAACGCTGAAAATCTATATAGACAATACATGCAGAAGTTTGGAAAGAAGAATGCTACGAAAAAATATGATCGCAGTGTACACTTTTACAGATTCATAAAAACACTCGTAGATATAAATAGAAACCATTTTAAAGGGAATCATGCTATGTCATTAGATCAGAATGCAGACGTTGTTAAGGAGCCGGTTGAGTATTTTTATTAAAACCAGATAAATATACTTTTTGTTTAATATCTAATACAGCGGACTCGTACCGTTTTGTTACCATTTCTACATGTCTGTTTATTCGCAAATTAATTTGTGTATATCCTTATTAGACTTAGTTTAAGTGAGTGAAGTTCAACTCCGACATCCGAACCTGGATAAATGAAGGCCCATAGAGATTACATTCCGGAGTGATCATTACATAAATGTCATTTGAAGTCAAATAAATGTATTTTACGCAAAATTCAGTTTCGTCGGACGAAATACATAATGAAAAGATAAAATACAAAAAAATACAGCTCCTGTACTCTCTAATTCTCAACCAATCAAAATAATAGAAAACATAAATTCTCGCGTTCATTTGTGACATTCTGTTGTTTCTGATAAATATTGTTTTGACTATCTCATAGAAATTGTTTCCTGGAATAAAAGTACGCAGTGAAGTTATTTCTTTAAAACTAACATTTTCCCACTGTTTTGCGCCACCATTAATTAAAAAATAGGACTTTTTAAAATCCTAACGTTAACAAGATCCGTTTAGAATTTACCATACACAGGATAATTACTATTGTCTAATATAATCCAATCTAATAAATGGTTGCAAATTTCTACGAATATAGGATGAGTCACAATTAAACCAGCATTAGCAAAATCATAACTGAAGTGCAATTTAATGAAATTTTGTATCCTATATAATAACAATTTGTTAGAGAAATGAAAAATGTTTGTAATTGAATAATTGTACCAGGAGAAAGTAATAAAATTGTATATACTGTCATAGCGGATTCTTATCATAACATAGTATAAAGCAAAGTCACTGCCGCTATCTGTCCCTATGTATGCTTAAATCTCTAAAATTTTTTGAATTTGAAGTGTTTTTGAAGTGTTTTTTTAAATAGATAAAGCGATTCTAGTGAAGGTTTATATATATAATACATGTACACCCGTGCGAAGCCGGGCCGAGTAGCTAGTTGTTAATAAACCAAATATGTAAAATTTATATTCTTACTTAGTAGTTTTAGCTATGAATATTTCATACTTATAAAATTGTTTGACCTAACTGATTATAGAGGTTATTCAGGACAAACAATCTATGTTATAAGTATAGATTATTGGTTGGAACAAAATACCTAAAATGTCAAGAACATAAACAAACAAAATATTATTTAGGCTCTATTAACCTCGCATTAGTAAAGTGTCAGTGATATTTTATGTATAATAATGACCAATTAGATGTATAATATTGTGTTCCATTTAAAGAATTGAGCATCGATTCTATACCACTATTTAATGTTCCGCCTGTTTAATTATCCTGGACATAATCTTGTACTGTGTATTTTTTAAAGCACACTATTTGATGAGGTGTTAACTACTCATATGTTTTCAGTGATTGTAATACTTTATTGTCAAGCAAAAAAAAAAAAATAACGGTCTATACTGTTATTTTATAAATACTTTTTAAATTGCGAAGAATGTGTTATGTAGGCTACGTTAATTCATGTATTTAATATTAATAATAATAATCTCAGGACAATTCACACAGCGCCATCTAGACCCAAGTTAAGGTTTAGGTAGGTTTCTTTAGGTAGCAAATCTTGTGTTATGGGAATTAGATAACTGATACAAGTACATAGATATTTTTTTTTCGTAAATACATACATATTATACACAGAAAACACCCAGACCGATATAAAAAATCATAATCATGAATACAAATGTTTGTGCCGTGCGAGGAATCGACCCCGCGACCATCGGTCGTAAAGTGCGTTTAGCACCGCACCGCTCGCCATCGACAGGGAATTCATCCCCATACGCTGGAACCTAAGTGGTCCCGAACAGCGCGGTTTCAGAGGAGTTTCCTCCCGTGTACACTTAGATTGTGGAATGAACTTCCTGCCGAGGTTTTCCCACGAGACTACAGCATGGGGTTTTTCAAGAATGGTATATTAAGGTTTCTTAAGGGTCGGCAACGCGCACGTGATACCTGGTGTTTCAGGCATTCATAGGCTACGGTAACCGTTTACCATCAGATGGACCGTATGCTTTATTGCCAGCATCATAGTATAAAAAAAAGCGGTGTGCTAGAGGCTAGACCACCGAGGTCGTTAAATCAAATTTAAAAGTTGCTATCTCATATTTTCATTTGAATTGTGGTCATGTAAATTACAGCTTAAAAGCTTTCACGACTTCGGCAGTTGATAATACTATCAAGGACTACTATTCTGTCAACATAACAGTCGTAAACGCATTGTATTATTAATTGTAGAATTCAAAATGCAATTAAATAATGTTACTAATGCATCAGCAATACAGTATTCGTGAAATTAGTTTCATAATAAAACAATACTAAAAAACCTGTGTGTCGTGAATGTCTACTACGATTTTCGTCTCCTAAAGATTTAAAAGCCAACGGGAAAAAGGGTGAATGCGGACTTTTATATCAGGAGTGGCACCTAAACGAAGATTATAGCTGACAGTACTCGGATCTTTCGTTTATATGTGTCGTACGAGTATAAATAAACACACATAAAATGGTTTGCTATTAGTTAATGTATTTTATTTATAAGTTTCCTTCATCAGAAAAATTTACTTTATTTTACTTACAATGTATTAGCATTGTTCAACAAAAGATCTTAAATCATAATAACATTAGTGTCGAATTGATATGAAAGGAGTTTCTATCAATTGGAAAAAATTCGTTAAAAATGGATCCGTTTTAGAAATATATTCGCTAACCGTAATCAATGTAATAATAATAACAGAGGACGGTTGTCCTCTGTTATTATTGTATTGATCTGGTTAGATCAATACAAACAATGTGTTGTTCGAATAATCGACCCTGCGAATATTGGAAGTAAGGCGGTGTGCTAACTAGCTGTACCATCAAGGTCATCTATGAGTATATAATACGATATTTTATATGTAATATTTATTATACATTATTTTATGTAACGTGATAGAATTGTAAGGAATACTTTATTAAAGAACTCTTTAACAAATATTAGTATATTAATCTACAGCACTTAAAACAAATTTACAATTTTTTTTTAAACAGTTCTAACAGGATTCGACATAAAAAATCAATTATATATAAAGAAGTAGAAAAAAATATGGGTAAACCCTAATTCATAATCATCAAAAACAATAATGATGGTTTCCAAGGGGACCTGTCAATAGTACACATTATGTAATATTATGTTATCTGTGACGTTACTGACTCTCACCAGACAGACAGATAAAGACATCACTAATGGGGCTCTACGATTACAAGCTTGTTTTATCTTTTTTATTCAAAATTATTTAATGGTAAGATTATGTAAATATTGTAATCCCTCCGGATTTCAAAGAATTTGACGAAGTTACTCAATTAAGTCATTGATGTAGTTTTTATTATAAAAGATTGTTTGATTAATTTTGTATTCTGTGAATAATGGAATTTTGCTCAAATATAAATTATCTTACTAGTTATTTACTATCGAAGCAAACACTATATCTAATAATGTATATTAATGACAGGAAATAAAAGATTATTTAAGGAAATGTAGTCTTTACTTCTATAGAAGAATACATATAATTATGTATTTTATTTTTTAACAGTAATCCTGCTTATGCAACTCTCAATATCCATATGCTGGATGGGCCAGTAAAAAATTAAAGGCTCATAATTAAATGTTACTTAGGTCATCGTGACTAATTCACGAGGAATTGTTATTATTTTGTCTAGAGGATGCCTTGTGAATATATTGACCTGACAGGATAGGTATCAATGTTGTAAATAGTCTCCGTCAGTAACAAATAAACAGACATATTAACACTTTTATAATAAAAATATTGATTTATTATAAAAGTGTTAATGTTAATATGCCTTAATCCGTTAAGCTGTTAAGATTTGAAATTTCATATAATTTCAGCATAATTATGCCAAAAAATCCAAGAAAGTAACTTTCGTTATTATATTAGTTAGAATGTTTATTAGTTGTAATGACTAATCTATTCAGATACACTCTTTTTGATTTCCCTAGTCAATCCGGAAATAAAAGCATTAAAATGTTACAATGTTTCAACTAATAGCTGAAGCTACGTAAAGTGCTATTTTGGTCCAACATTTCTCATGGGAAGAATATAAAGATTTCATTTGTAGAGTTTACACATCATTCATTTAATACCAGTGAGACAAATAAACGATCTGTGATTAATACTCAATGCGCTTATAGAGTTGAAAATCATGAACGTGCATCAATGAACACTTAATCACATCGATCACAACATCTTTACTGATTGTTATGTCACTGTATACATCTGAACTACAAAACAGCGAACTATTTCAGTTGTTGAAAATTAATGTATTGTTCTTTGAGGTCTGGGTGACTCGCAGTTAAATTTCGTAGTATGTCTAATCTAATTAAAATCTTTAATCAGTCATTTTTTAATATAACTGGAATGGTAAATAAGCTAACAATCCATCTGATGGTAAGTGATAACCGTCGTCTATATGTCGTCGCATCATGGACATCGTCACAACATGACACCCTTAGTACCTCTCACGTATTGCTATTTCAGAGGACTAAGTTGGGCATGCATAAGTAAACTGTAATTTTACTTTGTAACCAAATGACATCTATGGTACCATGCGTTTGTTATTCTGGAGAACAAATATAACATGTCTCCCATACCCTGTAATTTCATTTCCTTATCTCATACTTTAATCGAAACACATAAAGCAAGCTGCTTGGCAGCTGAAATAGGAGGAAACCTTTCAACTGGAAAACGACTTACAAAATAATTTACTGCTGAAATAGTTGAAGCTGAGGTACCAGCGCACACGATTTTGTACAAAATCCTGGGTCTAATATGAATAATTTTATTGTTTGTATTAAATGTGTGTCAATTCTTTTCTATCTTTTCATTATTGGATATATGTAGACTTCACCAATGACCTAACTGTCCCTTCCCCTTATAACATTTTTTTTTCTGCAGTCTGAAATAGCCGGTCTTTCTAAGGAACAACCGTATTTAGTCTAATAGCAATATAATTATAATTAGCAATATAAATAAAAGCAAATAAAAATTTTACAAATATTTAATTAAATAATTAAATACAATTATTATCGTTGAACATAATCATAAGTTATTATATCTTCACTGCATCGCAATACTTTACATTATTTTCCATTCACGAGGAATTTTCTAGAAACTCTCATTTAGTGGATGTATCCATCACAAAAAAATGTATCATAAGGAATTATTCATTAGGAATATAAGCAATATTAGATCACAAAGAACGCAAACGCCAAATGTCATACACCTGGTACTACTTTGCCAATAACTTGTATACAAACTTTACTAGAACATAACTTCAATAGGATCAATAACATATAACACCTCGAGCCAAAACTTTACTATGATCAATAACATATAAATTTATGGCGTCATCTTTTGACAGCAAAGTGGGGGAAAAGTGTCAAAGTGGGATACTATAGTCGCGTCAACGACTTTTTGTGCGAAGCCAATACTATTATTTGGATCGTATACGTACGGACAGTTTGATGGTCAATAAAATAACACTGCGAGGTTTGTGAATGTATGTGTGGTTTCAATTTCGGCTAAAGATTTCGTTGCTATCGTATGAAATCCTGACTATTCCCTTTTTATTTTAAAATGTAAATAGTTCGTAACCCTTACTTCAAAGGGAAATTTGGGAAAATTAAAAGGTCGGAAAACTGCACGAATTCTGTTTTTTGACCCCAACCTGCTGTTAAACTATTAATGGCGATGTAAAAGCATGCAGTATTCACAGTAACACGGTATGTTAGTTACCCAAAAATTTTGTTATACTTAAACTTTGCCAACATACATACTCATTATATATTTTTTATTATAGTCTTGTAGGATTTCTAGCAGAGAATGTAAGATAACTATATAAAATAATCAATAGTGTATTAATTAGAATACATTTATGCGAGTATTGATTTATTCAAGTTACAATTTCTTAAAAAGTGGTTCCGATGTGAAGCCGAGGTGTCTAATGTGTCTGAGGAGTAAGAGTTGCTGAGGGTTTTAATAAGGAAAATATGGAGATAAAATAAAATGTGACTAATATTACAGCGATATGTAATAGAAAGTAACAATAAAGAATACGTCAAAGAATATTATTATAAAATTTAAAAATAGTATAGAAACTTATCAAGGAGTTCGCTACAGCTGTATATCGTAATAATAATAAGTAGGTAGATAGTATGTATACGTAGTTCTACTATAACTGATATATATTACTGGTTATTTGTGAAGGATGTAAATGATAAATTAGTCTTATATATTACATTCCAAATAGCCTTTCATAAATATGCGAGCGTAGGTACTTGACATTCAAGACTATAATATTTTACGACACCTTGTCTAGAACTAGAAATAGTTATGGTCTAAATCCTCTTGGAAGGTCCTTTCCCATCCTCTGCGAATAAATCGCTTCTATTCCGGATAGGAGGTCAAAGTACTAACTTTCTTTTATTTGACACATATGAAATTTCGGCATTATGTAGCCGTGTAAAGTAGGTGAGGGTTTACGAGGCCGTAGGGCGCAAAGTGTGATGTATGGGGAATAGATTACTTTCGCTTTTGGTCGGATGTTTATCACCAAGTTCAAAACCTCATCTCGTACAAATATATTACAGTATTGTTTGTTCGACATGTGATGAAAATATTTTAGTTTGATAATGTTCCCCACTCAGTTATATTGGTTCCTATTTTGCATGACATCACAAGAGGCGTTGAAAACGATGAATAATATTATGATAGTATTGTGTACACATATATACTCGGTATCTTTTATGACAATAGTTTTAGATGATGTTGGCGACGCCCGTGGCACTGTTCGTATAGCGATGTTTAGTATTTTAGAGGAATATTTTTCCATTTAGTAAAATGTACATGTTATCTTAAATATATACCTTATTAGGAGATAATAGTTGTTGTGTGTTTACACAACAACTATTATCTCCTAACGTATACATTTGTATATATATATGTACAAAGATATTTACTTGCATGTCACATCTTTCTCTATTGCAATAAAATTGTTAGCTAGTATTTAATAATTGGAAACTAGTATTGTATTAGATAGTAGCAAGAGATCAATAAAACAAATGTTGTAAAAAAGAAGATAAATAGCAATGATTTATGATATTAAATTTAAATCAATACAAATACTTAAAAGTGTGTCTCTCTGTATCTCTGGAATGTTGGGTAATATAATAGCTTAAACCGTGTATGGTAATACAACGTTTTAATTTTCACGACAGTAGTTAAACTCATGTTTCAAATTATTATTTTAAAACTGAGTGTCTGACTGATCTTCTTATTATCATACTCAATATCTAGAAACAATAACGAATAAAGTAATATTATAAAAAATTTGTCTTAAGAATATATTTTGTCACATTTGCATCATTTTCAATATTTTATGACTTGAACTTCAATCCAATTGAATAAAAGAAGTATTCTTTAATTTCTGAATTCACGATTAAATTCTTATCTGTCATAAAAAATTCAATATGCAAAGCGGAAGAGTGACATGGGTTTGACGTTCAATTTTGTAATACGAAATGAAAAATTGACGTCTCCAGATTGCTCTTTCTGACCAATGTCGCTTCCAATTTATATTACCGAAATGAATAATTATTAATATCACAGTCGAGCACACTATTTTCTGTACATTTTGTACTGTGTTAAATTTACGCGACGTAAATTTCAAATACTTAACTACATCTGGAGTTGACGTTATAAAGCATAAAATTAAATTGTAAGATATTAACAATAAGGATCCTTTCATTTGCAACTTTTCACTTAACGATTTCATCTTTAACAAACTCGATCTCATTTTATCAATTGTCAAAGTTTAAAAACTTAATCCACTTAAGGACCCTTAAGGGTGAGTTTGTAGTGCGCATGACTTTACCCTAGCGGGAAAACCAAGGACATTCCGCGGACGGGCTTTACGCGGTTAGCACGCTCCGCCCGAGCGCGCCATTCAAATATGGAACACGATACAAACGCGCGAGGTGACTTGTAAACAACGGTCGTCGTAATTCGAAATTTAATTTATTTGTTTAATATTTTTCTTTTTAAATTTAAAAATGTTATATAATGTTACAAATGTTATCAGCAGTGGACGCTATTTATTTTGTGCAGCTAAACCTTTATAATGTGACTACATTTTTCGTTCTGTTCATACTACTTGCGGTGCATGTGAAATTGAACCAAAATTTGTGTAAATTACTATGCACAGCTACGAAAGCATAAAAATGAAGTTTATATCACTAATCACGTTGTGTGGTAAGTAGATTTTATAAAATAGATTAGTAATAAATGCCTTTAATTTGTACAAATTAAGGTAGTTTAAAAATAGTTTTTTTTGTAAACATGTTTAAATATCGTGTTAGAATAATAATGAATGTGATAAAACGGAGCTCCAAATTAGTGTACACTTTGTATACTTTATATTATTGAGTTGGTACATAAATAATAAAGAAGTTTAGATAATGTAACACCATCAACAGATAAACTATTTAAATAAACTTGTAACTTATTACATTATTGCTACCTAATTAAACACTAAGTGCCAGTAAACAACCTTATCCATCCATCGAGATTGTGGGGATTTCCCTCGTACGAGACCCTCCGGTAATAGTTTTCAATCATTAATGCACGAGACGGGATTAACAACATTTTAGATGCAGCGTAGGGCTGCCGCTTAGTTAATCAATTTTGTAAGAAGTAATTCTAAAGATTTCTGAATTAATAATTATTAATTTGCCTCGTTTATGACTAGCAATATAACGATATACTAAGTATTTCAATATTTATTTCGAAATTCACTATTTGTGACATTTATTTTCATACTTATACTGATCACTTTATTTTTATTATTATATAAGAATGTACTTGAATGATCGATATATGTTTTGGTTTTTATACGTGTATTTAGTATTACGAATTATTGCTTATTTTATATTTTTGGTTTTTGAATTCAGCAATTGTGAGAATTGAAAATAAATTATTTTAGGTATTAATTTTAAATAAATAATGAAAGAAATATTTAATTTAATTTATCGATCCGCTAAAATGACATTTAGGTGTATCGCAAAAATTTACCGTGACGGATTACGTATCCGATATGGATACACACTGACGATTAGTGAATTTTAATTGAAAGTACTTCAACTACCATAACATAAAAATACTAAGAGACTTCATGACAAAAAGTGAAGACAATTCTAACAATGTTAAATATTAATCTTAATATCAAATACTATTTAATTACAGTTAACAGTAAGATTTTCTTTTATCAGATACGCTTTAGGTATATAATGATGAAATAGTAAATCTTGAAAACAAATGACAACAAACACAACATGATTAAAGACATTCGATATGTAACTCAAAATGTCCACTAAAGTCAAGAAACTGAAAAAGTTACTTTAAGTCACATGGTTCGAAATATCGAAGTTACGAAGTGAACTTTGAACAAGTCCTTTATCGTATGAACTATTTCCGAGTAGTTTAAAATGTTGTAAAATTATTTACATGTTTTACCTGACTTTTTTTATAACTATGTAACCAATGTCACAAATAGTGGCCATTATACTAAACTAGACTTTGAATCATGATCATCTAATAGAGTGTGTTGTTTCTATTAATTTTAATTTTTTATTAATTTTGCTTTTCATGTTATTAGGTGTCGTTATAACTATTTAATTTAAATTATTATTGTTAGTTACATCCAACAACACTGTATAAAATGACTTAATCAATTCCTAGTATACTAAAAATAACTTATTTCTAGAGATAATTTGATACACCTAGAAGCATTTAAAATGCTTTTTTATAGTTTTACCAACTATAGAGATATTATTTTGGCTTTAGGTACATGAGTAAATGTGAGCGTAAATGTACTAGGCAACGTGTGTGATTGGCTCAGCATATTATAATAAATATTAATTCTGTAAATTTTAAACTTATTCCATAAATCAGAATCCACTCCACATTTTTTTCTAAATATCATAAAAATATTATCGCCCATTTCCTTTTTGGAACAAAATATTCTATATTCTACAAAAGACAACTTCTTTTCTTTGTAAGTAAAAAAAAATATACCTACTACTGAATAAGACGATGATTTTGGAGGAATTATTTTTATACACTGAAGTGTTATGAATTCAATGGAAAATAAATTGTGCCCGCGCCTTCGGAATGTCAAAGTTCATGGGCCGTTGGCGACACCAGGACTAGAATGGAATTCATCTTAGTATGGATTCAATTGAAATTCCGTACTAATACCGACGATACTGCTCTAATTAAAACGTGGTTAGAATCTAGAGTGCGTTTAATGAAAGCGGTAAGCGTTTAGTTCGTTTATGAATTTATTTTTCATCTCATTAAATAGGGATACTATTAATATTAATGATAAATGTGATCATGTTTTTTTGTGGACAGGTTGGTATTGATAATATAAAAAAAATATTCAGAAATATTTAAATAAAAATGACATTTATTTATTAATTGTAATTATTATATTGATGTATCTAGGTAACTGTGTCCCATACAGCACTTTACAGCATCTAACAAAGTTTCAGTTCAAATTCGAAAAAAGTTTTGATACATTTTCGAATTTAGGGTTAAAATGTTATGAGTAGAATTTTAGATTCAATATGAAAAATAAGAAGGAACCATAACTTTAAAACATAAATTAATAAAATCAAATATTTAGAAACCATCAAAATCTAACACATCGTATTCAATTAAAACAGTCCTTTGACTTTAGCTGAAGGGGTGTTTAATAACAATTTTGGATATAAAACCTAGTTTCGATCAAAACAGTAAATAATTAATATTTTATATAATTCTATCGTTTTACCTAACTATGTAAATATAATCTAAAAAAATGTGATTTAGGTGAATGTGATTTGGGTAAGACCATTAATCTGTTTAGTCTGAAATGTCGCATGAATATATTCAACTAAAATATTAAATTGGGTACTGGGCGAGGTTACTGTATTAATGTCATAATATGTTAGATTTAAAAGGGATCAATGGAAAAAGAAAACATACTGTCCCTACCCATGGGACACAGTATGTTTTCTTATACATCGCACGCCTAATACAATAATGGCTGAAATAAGAAAATTCAAATGTTGGAAAATCCACTCTAAATCAAATCAAATCAAATTTATTTGCGATAAATATAGGTTTACATTGGTTTAACATAGGTTTACATTCTGAGGTTTTAACTTTAAAGATTTATTCCAATTTATTCTTATTTTTGATTTAATCGAGTATTGTATTAAGTACGTGATTGTAATCATCAAGAATGGAATAACGGTAAGGAAATGATTACGATGTTACTGTTGTCAAGAACTTGTTTTTACCATTCTATTTGTTTATGTTATGCAAAGTTTATTCAAATCCAACACGGAAGAGGACGTCCCTACGGATGTCTCAAGGATTATTTTGTGTCCTGATAAGGTCATGTTATCAGAAATGTAACATTGTGATAACTTAGAAACGATCATGTAGCAATTAGTATAATTGCATAATACATAGTTTTCAATACAAATGTTATTATAGAAAGATATTTATTTAATAGAGTGAAATTGTACAAAATTTTGAAGGTCAAGTAGCCTGCTTGTATGAAACGAGTTAATATATAACATTAATTCATTCGACTAAGAAATTATGAAATAATATAGTTCTTTTGGTTTATTGATTGCATTTTTTAATGTTACATATTTAATTAAAAAATTTTACACAATAAAATCAATTTGGAAATTACGAATATTATTATGTCAAGTTTGAACATAATTAATAAGAAGACTACAAGAAATAAGTTAACAAAAAGTATCTTTTATAACAAAAAATCAATTATATAGTCAGATAATGGTCATGTGCCTATTTTCGTCATCTTGGAAACAGAAACTATTAATATTTGATAGACTAGTTCTGTTTGAATCGGTAGACAAACTTACTTATGAAGCAAGGCAGATATAGAAGTTATTACGTCGTAATGAATATTATATTAAGAGCTCTGTTTATATTAGGACTATTTTCACCGCGGCATTTTGTTATTTTCAATCATTAGATTATAAAGGGTCATGATTATAGTGTAACGTATATTACGTGATTTACCGAACATCCCAAAGGATAACAAGTACAGAAGTATTTTAGCATTAAGTTTAAGTTAAGTCAATTATATAAATCTCTTAAATAAAGTTAGGTAAATAAAGTTTTTATAAAATAATTAAGTACTGTATAACAAGTGTATAATGAAGGATCTGTACACAAAGATGATACTATAGACGATTTACAAAATAGACTATTTATTACTACCTATGGCGTAAAGAAGGAATATCATCGTTGTTTTAACTGGTATAAATTCATCGGCATCCACTTCTTAAACCGTTAAAGCTCCAAACGGGAGGGGGGATCCCCCCCCCCCCTACCCCCTTAGAAAGACGGTTTTTGTTATTTTTTTATATCTTTTTTTTCTGAAATTATTCTTACTCTATCCTGATATTAATAAGCTTTATGTCCCAAGACTCTCGTATCATCCTGGAGATGAAAAGGAGAGGTGACATATTATTATTCCATCACAATGCGAAAATATTGCCTTTACCAATTGATAAAAAAGGTACGGAAATTCAGGACACGGAGAGACATAAAACATAATGAATGAAGTGTCATGTTAATTTACGAGTAGCTAATGTACTCGTAAAGTGCTTGAAAAGGGAAATGTTATTCACGACGGATATAAAAAATAGGATAACAGAAAAAATATATAGGTACGTTTTTTAGCATTGACAGTATTTTTTTTATTTGGTTTGCACAAATCAGTGTAATACTTTTCTTTTTTAATCTGTAGGTAATCGTAATAGCAAAAAATATGCTCATATAAAAAAAATAGGCTCATCTAATAGAAAGTAGTATCCTTCCTTAATGATGATACCAATAAGATTAAGTATTTGTAACGTCCTTACGTCACCAATACTTTGTGAGAAAGTGCACTGTGAAAACCTCTATTTCTATGCGTATGAACCCAAGCATAGAGTTATAAGTATACAAAATTCTTTTCTCCGAGTTCTTTTTTCATGGTCTATTCTGATTTAATCTTGAAATCACCTTCTTTTGAAAAATTATAATTGGAATTTTTAAAATAGTATATTTTAAGATGTTTTGAGAATAATTTTTAAAAAGAAGTATATTGTCGAATATAAATAAGTTTATATAAAATAAAAATAGAATTATCAGTTAAGTATAAAGAAAAGGACGATTAAAACGGG